CCCCAAAACCCCAAAACCCCAAAACCCCTAAACTCTAGATATCCTTAAATTGCTCTTAATAATTTCATAAATAAGCTATTGTCAAAATTAATCAAATTCCGATGATTCAAGCAAGATCTGGAACTTGCCTGAACTTGAACTTATTATCATAATGATTGTTAATCTTAATCTAGATGTAATTTCTGTTATCATCACCACTGTCAACTATCTGATTTTCGTCAATCTTAAAACCAGCCCACCACATATCTAAGTGATCACAATCTTTTAAATACTCTGGCAAAGCCTCGTTCCTTATAATTTAGAACTCATATCTATATTCAGTGGCACCTATCATTTATAATAGAGTCAAGTAATCATTGTGGATTCTGAAATTTCCTGATTAAATACTCAGATGACTATCATTCTAGTTATACATTTGATACTCTGTGTTCTAATGAGTTTGAAATTATCCATTCTTATTCAAGAACTGAAGCTATTACTTTATCTTAGGCAAAAACTTCTTTGGAGTTGCGTTTGTGTAGAGCGAGACACATGTTCCATCTGGGTAGAACCTCAGATATTTATATGAGACTACTTAATGAACTGGATGGTTCATTGAGTTCTCACTGAGACCTGAGCGCATATACATGATCTTGCAGACATAAAATCCGTCAAATCTAATGAAGGGCCTCATTCTCAGCATCTAACGCCAGTTCTAGAACTTATGCAAATACTTTGATTGACCCTAGTAGAGTCTAGTATTCCAAATTTACAAGCAATGCCTCTTAAATATCTTTCCAGTCGACTTTTTCTTGAATATGATGTTCCATTCTTTGCAAATCATTGGAGTCTATAGGAAACTCCTTTGATCTAGGAAGGTGAAAATGTGACTTATCAATTCAGCAGGCACAAGATCAAAGTATCTGATCTTAACAGTATCACCATCATCGTTGTAGTTATCCTAGATTAATTGCTAAGCCTCTCTCTTCTTTTGCTCTTCAACAGCTGACTACTACTTTTTGAGGAATGTGAAATCATCCATGTTCTTATTCTTAATAGATAGCTTTTCAAATAACTCCTCTGGAGAGATGTTAAACTTCTTTAATGAGTTCTCATATCTCTAGAATTTATTAATCAAGTCAAAGGCGCTTATTTTCTCTTCCAAGTCAATATCATCTTCGATGATTTGTCTGATAAACTCATCATTCTCATTAAATTCCTCCTACTCTGAATGCTTAGATGAATAATTATTAGATGATAATGTGGTGTCAATTTAGAATTCTTCTTAATTCTTGAATTGCTAGGTGTTTGAGGATTCCATTCTTTTATTAGATTATAAGTTAATTTTTGTATAAATCAAATTTAAACATTAATAGACCAATCAAATCATTTCAAATAAATTTCTGCCAATCATACTAAAGCCAAAAGCAGTCAAATCCTTCTCATTTTGTTAATTCTAAGTTCATTTAACTGATGCTCTGTTTTCAAAAGCTTGATTTCATTTATATGCCAATTCCTAGTAGTAACATCCATCTTTCTCTAGCCTAAATTGCTTATCTCTAGATTTATATCCATGTTGCTTTTTAAGGATTAGATCATTTAAGTTTCATCTCTTGTCTAATTTGGATATAGAGGACTTGACAAAATACTCTATTTATACTTCTTTGGCTCAATAAAATTCTTCATTGTTTTGTAAATCTTATTAGTACCTTTGTTTAGTTTCTGATACTCAGTAATTTTATCATTTAGTTATGCCTGCTCAAGTAACTGTATAGTCTTAGGGGAACTCTAAGCTTTCATAGAGTTTGGATAAAGAGTAAGTTCAGTTGAAAATGTTCTGTAATGTGTTGAATTAATGTCTCTGTTATGTGAGTTGACTGAATCCAGATTAAGCAGTTTAAGTGAACTATTGTCTATATTCCCTGAGGTATCTTCAGTTGTTAATTGCTCTCTATTATGGGTATTATATTTCTCCATCATACTTTAATTTTTGTGAAAAAATGGATTTGTACTAAATTTTGATGTCTAACCCATTATGTACTCAGAATTTATGGACTTACTTCTATTTTTAAAGCTAAAGTTGCATTGAGTTTTAAGTGGCTGCATAAAACTAGTCTTATTAAGATCCTTTTGCATTTCAAAGAACCTTTGCTTCTGCTGTTTTTATATTTTATGTTGTTCACTCATGAATTTCCTCATCTCCGTAACATAAACTTCATCATTATAAACAGGATTAAGCTCCTTGATCATTGTATGCCCACCAAAAGGCCTAATTTCTTTCATTTCAAATCTGTATTTTTAGCCGTAAAACTTCATCAATTAATCATCTTTCTTGAAGAATTAAACCTGCATGCACTGATCAACTGGCTATTCAAGAAAAGAGATATCATCTTTAGCTCTAAATTTAAGTAATTTCTTAAGAAAGAAATCCTCCTCTGCCTGCTTTTATAGCTCACTTTCATCAAATTTTCTCTCTACTTTTACCAATTATCTCATCTTCTGCTTGAGGTAAATTTGCCAAGGCCTAAGCTTTTGAAAATAATAGTCCTTCATATTTTACTCTATGTTCATTCCTTACTACTCAATCATTTTCTTTATCTGCTGTATTTCGGTGGAATCAGTACCTGTCCTCCTTAATATATCTTGCCATCTTTCAGTTGACTGCTTAGCATTAGTTCGATTAGTTTCATCTTATCCAATCTTTGCCTCACTTTCCTCATCTGATCTTAACTCAACTTAATCAGATTTAATCAAATTATTCTCTGACTCAACCTACTCTACAACTGTCTACATCTATTTAAGCAAAATCTTGAACTACTCAAAATCCTCTTACTTTTTCACTCTTTCATCCTCAAATTTTTACTGCTGTTAAACCTAATCTAAAAAGCTTTACTTCTGCTTTTCAATTGTTTGATGATATTATAGAGATTGATTATTTCTGTATATATGTGAATTAGACCGCTTTTAGAAAAAATTCTGAGTAGTTTAATTATACTTATGAGGAGTTTTATTTTGTATCTCTTTGTTATTTTACATCAAAGTCTGCTTTAAATCACCTATTGTTACTTGGCCCATCTTGAAGAGTGACTCTTGATCGAGAAAATGTCCATGCCTTGTCTATTTAAGCTTTTTATTGTAGTAAGGACTTTCACTTAGTCCATCTCAGTTTAGATTTTAGATTACTGAAGATGGTTTCTCGTTATTGACATCATGACAAGGGTTTTGGTTTCTAAAAAACTTGATAAACTTAGAACTCTCTTTCACTGGAGGTTTAAACATTTAAATCCCGTTCAAGAACTTCTCAGTCTCAATTTCCTAAAGCTTCTTCTCAGTAATCTTGAATGGCTTTGGTAGAATCTTCTTTTTAAAGCTATCGCTTGTAAAGATTTAGTCGATTTAGTTGACCTAGTGCTGGATGTTATTATAAAGAATCATGTTAGTGTCTGTATTTGTCTACAGAGATAAGAGTCTTTCTTGCTTATTCTGTCTATGCTTAGTAATAGAATTTTTCCGTGAAATCGCCATGCTTTGATTTAGGTATTTCTGCCCTTTAGTGATTGAACATTCATCAGTAATGGTACTCATTTTTTGGGTTGAAATAATAATGTTGATGTTTATTAATAGTATGTTAATTATTTTGAGAGCTGCTCAGATAATTTAAACTTTCTGAAATATGCATTAATTTATTGCTTTAATGTTTTCTTCATCAATTTTAGAATAACGGGGTTTTGGGGTTTTGGGG